GAAGAATCCCAACATAAAAACGAGATAAAAGACTATTACCAAAACTAACGCCATAGATAACAAGAAGATGGAAAAGATAAATTATTTCCTAACCCAGCTTATGAGTGGACACGGGTGTTTCCAGACATACCTATACACACACAATAGATCAGTGTATGTAACAAATATAAATAAATATAAAAGGTCACCAAATTAAATCAAAAAAACAGTGTGAAGTATCTGGGTGTGATGGTCGGTAAAGATTTAAAATGGGATCACCACATACAGTATATACAGTGTGTTAATTAATTATTGTACCCGACATCTTCATTGCAAGTATGCAACCAATATCACAGTATTGGTATGGTAACACCATTGAGGTCTTATATATAATCTAGAGAGCGTATGTGGTGGTGGTGGGGGTAATCAGAAAGTCAGACATGTTGGATGTACCGACCTGAACTTAGCTACAGTTTCAAGTCTCTATTGTACCTACAATTATAACCTCACAATTCTCATAAACATATTGTTATTTTTATTAAAATTTGATTTTTGTTGAAAGTTTTCGAATTCTTTACGTTTCACATATGTTTTTTATAATTTGATAGGTTGGACGATTATTTACAACAGTCCATAAAATGTTTCTGGTTACTTGACTTGGAATTAACAATTAAAGACCTCGGTATAAGAAGGGGACAACTCCTTCTCTTGATAAATGGAGCTACTCCCTTCTTGCAGCAAGGTCTTCAATTGAAGTTCAAGTAAAGTTTATTATTAAGGACTGTTCAGTTTTTTTTAAATAAACTAACAATTATTTATAAGCAAAGGTTAACGTGATCAATCGGAATTGCTTTAAATATTTTCTTCTTAGTTTTTGTTAATTATAAGGGTTATGGCTAAAAATTATTAAGTTCTTTTAAAATATCATATAATTAATAATTATTTATCAATAAAAAATTAATGTTTTGTTTTGGTTATTATTTTCTGCCTTTCCAGTTTATAATAATGTAAATTCTTGCATAAGTATATATAAGAATTTCGAATTTCCCGCTAAGTTGGTACATCTAACATGGCGACCTTTCTGGCTTCATTTTAGGCGTGGTGGGGACAACAGCATACGCACTCTAGATTATATATAAGACCTCAATGGGTAACACGGAAATCGGGCGTGATATTGGTTGCATATTTGCAATGATGACGTTGCGTACAATAATTAATTAACACATTGTATGTAGAAAAGCTCAAAAAACTGTTCAAGCGATGAATAGGGTCATGGGATCGACATATGGACCCAAGTGGCATAGGCCTTTGGAAAAAAGAAACTTAATAAGTATCTAACAAGAGTACAGAGACAAAAAATGCTGATACGCATAATAAGTGGGTACAGAACGATCTCGACAGAGGCACTACAGGTACTGGGGGACTCACCGCCCATGGAGTTAATGGTTAAGAAAAGGATAGCTCGTAAAGACGACAGGGAAGAGGTGGAGGAACAGATCAAGACAGTGTGGCGAGAAAGATTAAAGAACGATACTGGAAAGGCGAGCTGGATTAAAAGTTTGATGCCTGAAATAACATCGTGGTTGGAAAGAAAGTGAGGAGAAGTGAACTAGTTCATGGCACAGTTATTGAGTAAACATATAGTACGTAAGTAGTACATAAAAGAGCAGAAAATGATCATTGCGTGTATTGTGGGCAGAGGGACAATGTGGAACATGCATTTTATCATTGTCCAAGATGGATAAACATATGGAGGGAAATAAACTCCAAATTGGGGGGGAATTAACTCGTAAAATCCCATAGACTCTATGCTCCAAAGCGAGGAGAAATGGGAAACTGTCGAGATATATGTGAAAAGGGTGAGTCATACGAAAGAGTGTAAGGAGAAAGCGTGGTGATGAAAAACGTCCGGAACAGTGAGAAAAGGATGGAAATAACAAGAATTGGAAAGAAGAGGAGCGAGAGGGGGTTTGCTCACCTCGTCCAGACAGGTAGAAATAACTAATAAGATTCAAAAAGTTAATAGATTAATCTTTTTCCGTCAAAATGATTGAGCAAACTGCCATAATTAATTTAATGTAAAAAATTCTTTTCTACCGGAACGACTGCGAAAGACGAGAAATGGCAGAGGAGATGATGAACAAGACAAGACAGGATGAAAGAGAAAGAGAAGAATATGAGGGAGAAAATAGAGATGGGACACTGGGTTTGAGAAACAGTGATACAGTGACATATGCCGAAGTTATTACAGGAGGTTTTTTAGAGAGTGCTTTATCCTCCTGTATAAAGAAAATTAAAAAAAGGGTTTGGTTGGGTTGGGTTGATATTTTCTTGGAGGTGTCGTCGTTTTTCATTCTCTGGACGTGACCAATCCAGCGCAGGCGACAGATCTTTATAAAAGCTACACCATCAGGCTCTCTGTATGTTGAGTAGAACTTGAAATTATGTCTTATGCGCCACTTTCCAACTTCCAACACTTCCCTATATCTATGAGCAGTATCTTCTATGCCTCACTGGTATCAATGAGAACATCAGCACCTCGTTGTCTCATCTTTCTTGTGTTGCTTCTCTCTGTTCTTCACAACAAATTTCTGCTTTTATAGCTTAATTTCATAATTGCCATTGCATCATCATATTCATCGCTTATTGACTCCAAAATTTTATCCAAGACCAACTCGTAGTTATTATATCCTGTATTTCTTTTCTTAATAAGAATTCTTTTGAATTTTTGATGATCTCTTTCAATTCTCTTGTTTTTAAATATTTTTCTAATAGTGTTTATAAGTTCGAATGTGGTTGAGGGGAAGGAATTAAGATCAAATTAAAAAAAATTTCTAACAAAAGAAAAACTTTTTGACAATCTAGAAAGTTAATAAATTATTATTGTAAAATTTGGCATTTAAATTGTCATGAAGAAATTCTTTAAAGATCAAAATTTTAGTGGAAGATTTTTACAAACAAATTTTGGATTTCTATAAAAAAGGTATTTAGAGATTTATGATTTAACTTAAAAAAAAATGAAGAAAACCTTACGTTTTTCTTCTTCACCAGACCTCAACTTCTCACCACCAAATAAATATCATCCAAACAATTCAACAAATGTACCAAAAAAGAAATGCCAAAGAAAACTTCGAATTTAAATTTAAGCGAATCTCAGGGAAAAGAAAGCACCAAAAACTTGCCATCAATCAAGAAAAAAAATGTCATAACGAAAAATAATATAAACACAAAAAGTTCAACGAAAAGTATAACAAAAAATATTTCTTCGAGAACTTTTGGAAAATCTACGGATTTAGGAGATGTTTTGGCGAGATGCTTACTGGGAAATTCAAGCTTTCAAGTTAAAAAAAGCAAGATTCTGTCGGATTACGATTTAACAGGTTAAAAAATTATTTATGTTTTAAATTTTTTTGAATGAAATTGTTATGATTGGTAGGTTTGGAAAAGAAGGAAAACGTTAGGTCGTCTCCAATAAATAAAAGTAAAACGAAAGTGTTGTATAATAATGAAAAAAATTATCACAAATTTGAACAAAAATTTGATCCAAAAAGTAATTCTAAATTTGACCCAAAAATTAATTCTAAATTTGATCCAAAGATTAATTCTAAATTCGATCCAAAAATTAATTCTAAATTTAATCCAAAAATTAAACAAAAATTTAAGGAACAAATGGAGCCAGTATTTAATTATAATTTTGACCCAAAATTTAATACTAAATTCGACGTAAAATATAAAAGTGATGATTATAATAAAGGAAAAACATTAAAACCGAAAAAATCAAATCTTGAAAGTAAACGCATCAACGAAATGAGTAAAAGCATTCAAAAATTAGATAGAATCGTCGCCGGCTTTAAAAATGATATCTCCACTGCTTTAACAAAGAAGATAATTTTAGGAAGAAATTCATCACTTTCAACTTTAGAAGAGTCATCAAATTCCGATGTAAACCCATCAATTAATACCATAAGAAGATCGGATAAAAAATTATCAAATATGTCAATAATAAATTTACCAAAAAAAAATGATAAAAAATTACCCAAAACGCCGAAAACATTATCAGCGAATAAAAAATCATCTGCTTCGCTTAAAAATACAATACCTTCTAAACAATCAACAACAAAATTAAAAAGCAAAGGAAGTTTCACATTAAAATCTTTGATTCCTCTTTATAAAAACGAACCGAGCGATACAAAAAAAGGTTTGAAAGGTTCAAACGTTGTGCATCAAATTGAGAGTAAAGAGGAAAATTACAACGAATTTTTGGATCATTTAATTCAATCGAGAAGACTCTATTTGTCAGAATTTTTTAGTGAAAAAAAGGAAATTAAAGAAAAAAAATCAAATCATACTAAATTTAAAAAAACTGATGTTGAAATCGATAGATCAGTGTATGTAACAAA